CTGGAGGCGGTCCTGCTGGGGGTGCTGGAGCTGGAGGTACTGCTGGCGCTGGTGCTGCCGCTGGGGGTACTGGTGCTGTCCCTGCTGTGTCTGGAGTCGCCACACGGCCTAGGCCGTACTTCGTTCCGCTCCTTCAGCAGGTTCTTGGTCTCCCGCCTTCTACTGGTCCTCCTCCTCCCTTAGAGTGTCCACAGCCTGTCCCATCACAGTTACAGTTACAGCCGGCCTCCCCACTGCCCGCTCCTTCTCCCTACACTGGTCCTACTGGAGGTCTTGCTGAGCGTCGTGAGCCTGCGTCTCGCCCTGCGTCGCCTGTCCGTGCTGCTCGCACTAGTGCTCGTGGTTCGCGTCAGCGTCCTCCTCCTGTCCCTGGCACGCACCGGATGTCTCTGCGTCCGTCCACTGCTCCTCTGCGTGCCCCTTTGCCTTCTCCTCCTGAGTCCTCTCTTCCTCCTCTTCCTGACCCGGAGTCGGACTCTCTTCGTGCTGCCAGTCCTACTGTCACGCGTCTCCTTGCTACTGTTGTCACTGACCCTTCCTTTGAGTCCACTGCTGCGTCTGCCCTAGTTACTGAGCTCGTCGACTTTGCTGCTCGCTGTCGTCTAGACTACGCTGCTAGTCTTGTTGCTGAGTCTGAGTCTGTCTGTCCTCCGTCCGTCGGGGGTGAGTGTGCCCTTGGCACGGACGTCCTTGAGGACAGGCAGGAGGAGTTCCAGTGTTTGGCTGCTGCTTCACCTCATCTCGTGTCCGTACTGCTTACCCCTGAGGGAGACCCGGATGCACTTGACATCCCGACTCCGCGCTCTTACGCGGAGGCGATAGAGGGTCCCTACTCCTCTCAGTGGCAGGCAGCTATGGACGCAGAGATGGCTTCCTGGAAGTCCACAGGCACCTACGTTGACGAGGTTCCCCCGCCTGGGGCGAACATCGTCAGTGGCATGTGGATTTTCAGGGTGAAGCGGCCGCCGGGTTCTCCGCCTGTCTTCAAGGCGCGTTACGTGGCTCGTGGCTTCAGTCAGCGGCAGGGAGTTGACTACTTTCAGACCTTCTCTCCCACCCCGAAGATGACCACTCTTCGGGTACTGCTGCACATAGCTGCTCACCGCGACTACGAGCTGCACTCTCTTGACTTCAGCACTGCTTTCTTGCAGGGCAGCCTGCACGAGGAGATCTGGCTGCGTCGCCCACCTGGCTTCACTGGGTCTTTTCCTCCTGGCACCCAGTGGAGCCTCCGGCGGCCAGTCTACGGTCTCCGCCAGGCACCGCGTGAGTGGCACGACACACTGAGGACTACACTTGCGGCTCTTGGGTTTGCTCCCTCTACTGCCGACCCGTCGCTGTTTCTGCGCACCGACACTTCTTTGCAGCCGTTCTACATCCTCGTGTACGTCGACGACTTGGTCTTTGCCACAGCTGACACTGCTGGACTCGCCCACGTGAAGTCCGAGCTGCAGAAGAGACACACGTGCACAGACCTGGGTGAACTGCGCAGCTACCTTGGCTTGCAGATCACCCAGGACAGAGCACGCCGCACCATTACCCTGACTCAGTCACACATGGTGCAGCAGGTCCTTCAGCGCTTCGGCTTCACGTACTCCTCGCCTCAGGCCACTCCTCTGCCTACTCGCCACTCGCTCTCAGCTCTGCCTTCGGATGAGTCCGTAGAGTCGAGTGGCCCGTACCCAGAGCTTGTTGGCTGCCTCATGTACCTGATGACCTGCACACGACCTGACCTTGCATACTCTCTTAGCATTCTTGCACGCTATGTTGCTCCTGGGAGACACAGACCGGAGCACATGGCTGCAGCGAAGAGGGTGTTGCGCTACTTGTGCAGTACGTCGGGCATGGGGCTTGTGCTTGGAGGGCAGAGTCCAGTGGTCCTCACTGGACACGCAGACGCTTCTTGGGCTGACGACCAGGCTACGCAGCGGTCGTCACAGGGTTACACCTTCAGCCTTGGTTCCGGCTCTGTTTCGTGGCGGGCTACTCGCTCGTCTTCTGTTCTCGGCTCCAGTTGTGAGGCTGAGATCTACGCCGGGGCCATGGCTGCACAGGAGCTTCGCTGGCTCACCTACCTGCTGACTGACCTCGGAGAGCCGCCTCGTTCTCCTCCAGTGCTCTACGTAGACAACAAGGCCATGCTGGCCTTGTGTCGAGAGCAGAGACTGGAGCACAGAACGAAGCACATTGCTCTTCGCTACTTCCTTGCTCGTGAGCTACAGCAGCGTGGTCAGCTGCGACTTGCGTACGTGGCCTCTGAGGCCAACACTGCTGATATCTTCACCAAGGCACTTGCGCCTTGTGATCATCAGCGCTTCTGTACTCAGCTGGGTCTTGTACCTACCTTGCCTCACTTGCTCACCTCTTGACCTTGTTTGTACTGTTGCATATATATATACTCCTGCTCTTGCTTGTCTAGCCTTATATATATATGTAATCCTGCATGTGAACTAGCCTTGTGGCCTTGAACTTGTGCTCGGAATGTGTGGTGACTTTGTGATCCACCCTGAGCTTGCTTTGCTTTGCTTGACTGGTCTTGTGACCCCTTGTTCTCCCCCACTTTGCCTATGGGGGTGTGTCAGAGTTATATGACATAGCTACTGTAGGCTATAGTGGGGTAGCACATATGGGGTACAGTTGCCTAGGGTTTGCCTTTTTGTACCCAACTTTCACTTAGTCATTTCATTCCTGTTTTCTTGATTCACACCGACTTCATCGGCGTGAATCACACCTCGTTGCCTCGATGTGCCTCCCGCGCTGCTGCCGACTTGGCCACCACCCGCGTTGACGTCCGCGTTGACGCCGCCCGCGTTGTTCACCGGTCGAGGAGACGCAGGCCGAGAGGGAGGGTGCTCCGTCGCCCACAAGGAGCGGATGCCAGCCTCGACGACCGTCCAGGGGATGTCGCCATACTCGTTGGCCTCGTGCTTTCTCCTCGCGTTCTCCAGCCGTGCCTCCAGGGTGTCCACCACCCCTCCGTCACCTACGGCTCCTACCATAGTGACTACCGCACAGCTGCCGGTCTACGAACAAGCTAGGTGAGTGAGAAGTCAGCTAAACCGAAGGTTTCGTCGCGGTGTCGTCCACGCTCACCGCACCATGCGGAGATAACTAGTGCAACGGGGAGATAGACTACGGGCTAGGCACGGGGCAAGAGTGATCGTAGCGTTTGTTCGTTCCTTAGTCGTTTCCAAGTGCTAACACTGCTTGCTAGTTCACGGGGAAAATTGACAAGAGTTTCACTAGGAAAACATCACAACAAAAGTTCAGAAATGATTGCATCAACATTGGCAACACTGACTACATCAGACCTAGCAAGGCTGCCGGTCCACTGCCAGCGCAGCACGGTCGACCGCGTGCCAGCACGACTTTGGTCGACCGCGCTCCAGCAGAGCAGAGTCGCGGCTTGCCAGCGTTGCAGGTCCGCGGTGTGCCAACGCTGCAGTAGGTCGGCTGCACAGCGTTGCATCCGCGGGACAACGGTGCACCAGCTTCGCAGGTGCGTGCAGCTGGTTGGCGCCCAACTCCCCGTCACACGCCCAGCGCAGACACTTCACCCGTGACGGCGCCCACCAGCCACGTCGACCTCGGGATACCACCCCCGAGGTCGTCCTCGCAGACAACATCCCCGGCGACTTTCGCGCACGTCGCCCGGGTATCCTGGTTGACTGGGTATTTCGCGGTCTTCCCGCGGTTTCTCGGCCACCGCGGTCCTCCCGCGGTTTCGTGGATCCATGGTCCCCCGTGATTTCGTGGCTCCACGGTCCCCCGCGATTTCGTGGATCCACGGTCCCCCGTGATTTCGTGGCTCCACGGTCCCCCGCGATTTCGTGGCTCCCACGGTCCACCGCGATTTCGTGGCTCCCACGGTTGGCTCCGCCCAAGCGAGGACGGGGCCAAACACAACTCCCGTTGACATGAAGTGGCCCTGCGAGCCACCACTCCCTGACATAGACCTCAATGAGATCTTGTAAACGGAAAAGTCCGGTGTTTATAGGGGTGCGGCCGATGCGATGGTTGGGCGAGACGGGGTGGACAGTAGCCGAGACGGAAGAGGGGGGAATGAAGTCGACGACCTGGATAGCGAGGTGAGATATGGAATAGTGGTCATCTGAAGGCATGAACCAATCTCCTGGGGAGGCAGAGGATGGGTGAGGGGATCAGAGGCCGGCCCACCAGGGAGGCTTGATAGCCTTGATGAGATCTGGGAGGAGGCGTGTGGCGTCGTCGTGAAATTCCTCCGGGAGTTGGGAGCAAAACTCTTGAGCCGAGATAGGGCTGACGTCGAAGTTGGTGATTCTGACAATGTGTCCGATGCGGAGTTGTCGTGTGAGAAGGAATCGCTCATGTTGGCGGGTGCCGAAAGGTCGCTCGTCAGGTTTGAGGAGCAGCCGGTTGAAGGCGAGAGGTTCGGTGAGGATGCATTGCATGCGTAGGGGGGGGCCATGAACAACCAGGGGAAGAGCGAGGAGGGTTTTGAGTTCATCCAGTGCCCGGGGGGGTATGAAGGAGGGAAGGTAGTCTCGTTCAAGGATGGCTTTATGGGAGAGCAGGCCATGTAGCCCGAAGGGGAAAGGTGTCAGGGTCCGTGTGACTTCCTCGGACGGGGTGGGTCCAAATCTGCGCAGGGCACGCTGGATAGCGAGGGCTTTGATTTGGGTAGATGGGGCGATCGCACCAACCCCGCCATCTTGGGGTGAGTTGTAAAGGAGACCATTGGGGAGGAAGCGTTGTGCGAAGCCATCCTGTTCATGCTTTGAGGACGAGAGGAAGTTTCCAACTGATATGTTAATTCGTTTGATGGTGTCCAGAGGTGCAGGTTGGAAGCGGCCGGGATAGGAGATGACGGAGTTCAGAAAGGTTGATGAAAGGGATTTGCGGCACGTGACAGTGGCATGTAAGGCCGCCAGGAATTTGGCTGTTTGTTGTATGCGGGCGAGGGCCTGAGTCCAGGTGGTCGATCTAGGGTGTAATCGTTCCACATAAATTCCAAGGATGCGTTATGCTTCACTGGGGGCTCGGACGGGGATAGGCCCGGCGTGCGCGAGGTCAGTGGGGGAAATATTGAAGGGAATAATGGAGCATTTGTTCCAATTGGGTACCTCCCCAGACACAGAACCGAAAACGCCGAGGAGTATAACTGCGAGGCCAAGCTCTGTGTCTGAGGTGAGAAAGAGAGTGACATCATCCGCGTAGCATGCCATGAGTCGGCGCTGAACGGGGGACAGAGCGAAGCCGGGGAGGAAGAGGGACATGACACAGACGAAAAGAAGGGGTGCCAGAGGACAATCCTGTCGGACGCCCGTCCGGACGGGGAAAGTGGGGCCGAGCATGTTGTTGACGGAGATTCGTGTGTTCGTGTCGGGAGAGCGGGGAAGGAGCGGGGACTTTTACCATTAGCCTTCTGCAGTTGGGCGACCATGGTTTGCGCCTTGTTATTGAGCCGTCCCTTGCGCTTGCAGGGGAAAGTCGCGTGGTCCTCCACGCGGTGGTTGCTGGCACAAATGGAGCAGACGTGGGTGGAGATATTGACGAGTATAGCAAGCTCATTGCCGCTGACGGGTATCAGTGCTGGAATGGAGCGGAACTCCGGGTCTGCCGCCAGTGGGATTGGGATTCCAGAGAAGATGTTGAGGAAAACCCCGTCATAGGGGTCTTGCATGCGGTGGAAGGAGTTGATTCCCGCCAGCCAGCGTGGCACCAGGTACGTCAGCAGGTTTGATTCGTCAAAACGGGGGGGCACCCGGCGCAGGGAGAGAACGGGGGCCCCGATTGCCTTGGCCGTGGTGAAATCGGGGTGAGGGTCAACGTACGATTTGACCAAGATAGAGCGTCCGTGAGCGAGCTCGATGGGGTGGTTGAAGATAGGGAGGAACTCGCGGGCGGATTGTTCTGTAGGCCAGGAAAAACAGATCGTCGCATAGGACCGACCGGCGAAGCGCAGGGTTTCTCCGTTGGTGGGGCGGGCGTCAGGAACAAATCCGCAGTCAAAGAGGGAAGGCTTCAGTTTCGCGAGGATTTTGGAGATGAGTGTGGCACGGATGGCGTCAGCTCCTGCCTCAGGGAAGAGCAGAGTAACCACAGAGCGGCTACTCGTCATGAGGATGGGGGGGGGTAGAGTCGGGGGAGGCGGAGCCGGCTGGCGAGAGGAGCGCGGCAGCTCGGGTTCGGGGGGCATCTCCACAGACGGGATCGCCGTAGCGTTCGTGTCGGCGGTCCCAGCAGGGCCGATCGGGGTTGAGGAGCTCGGGCCGGGGGTCGACGGAGCCGGGAGAGCGGGGTCAGCGACGCTTGGAGCCGAGGCAACGCCTGCAGCGGCGGAGGCGTTTGTGCTGGTGGTCTGCATCACGGGTTTCTCGGGCGTGCCAGCGGGCCCCTCCATGACACCAGAGGTAGCAGCAGCCGAGTCGTGGGAAGAGCTGGGATCGGCGTCGACGCACGGTTTCTTGGATGCGGGGAGTTCCGTGGGCGAACGGGTGCGCGGGAGGTTGGATCCAGCGGGGTCATCCGGGAGCTCCATCGCTTCGAGGTCCTCGTCGGTGAGCTCCATAACCTCATCGAACTGCGGGATTTCAGCCATAGCTCGAGAGCGAGGAGGGGGAGCGAAGGGTGGGAAAGCGAGCGGGAAGTGGAGTGGAGAGAAAGAAATGCGGGAGGTTAGAAATAGTCCCAAGCACCAGCTGGCAGCCGAGAAGCAGGGCAGCGCACGGGAGAGTGGAGCAGAGCTTGAAGAGAGTGGTGTACCGGTGGGTGTAGGAGTTGGGGGTCGTAGAGGACACGAGAAGGCGAGGGAGGAGTTGGCCATCCGGCCCACATGGGAGTTTCCGCATGCAGAAGGCGGTGCTTTGGGGTGAGCGGTGCGTGGGGACTGCCGCGTCCGGTTAGGGACGGGGTCAAATTGAGCAAGGCGGATGCATAGGCGTTGGCCATAGCAGTTCCGAGGGGGTGACCGGCAGACTGATCGGCATTCCGAGTCTGGGTTCCATACCGGCCCGAAAGCACGGCGTGGGGTTGAGGCGGTGAGCAATTTTCGAGGTAGCGGGAGAAGGGAGAAGGTTCGATTTTGAGAGCGTATAGGTGGAGAAACAAGCCCCGAGGGCATGCAGGGAGGGCGTGAGCAGGGAAGCAGTTCTCTGGGTGTACAGTGGGGCGAGGAAGGGAAGCCACAAGGAGAAGAAACGGGTAGCATAGCCCAAGGCGGAGCATGGTCTTCCACGTACCTTGATGGCAGGGGCGTGGTGGGGAGCCTGTAGACGCAGTGGGTGGCTTGTGACTGGAGGAGAGGAGACGGTGTGAAGGTGGCAGTCATACTTACCTTGAGAATGCAGGCCGCCCGTAACTGGACGAAAGGGTAGCAAAGCATCAATGCTGCTCCAGCGGAGCTGCCAGCACACCTTCTGACACGTGGGTCAATGCTTAAGTTGTCGCTGCTCGTAATTGGGGTTTGTTTCCGGTCTCGTGACGAGTTCCAGGGTATGAGACGGTGATACCAGAAGGAGCGAGAGGGGCGGTTTAAACGCTGTTGCTTAAAGAGTTGTCCTGCGCTCCGAGTAGAGAGCAAGGGGGTTTGCCTGGAGGGGTGTGGAGAGGGCTTACCAGTGGCACGAGAAGATCCAAGCGCGAAGTCGGAAGTTTTGGCGAAGTGCGATTGTAGGTGTCTCTGGGCTAACAAGTGGGGTTCGAGTGCGACGAGGGGAGGTGGGCCAAGTGGCGCGTTCAATTGCCAGCGTAGCTCGGAGGCGTTATGATAGCGGCGGGAGTGTTTGTCGGAGCGAAGGTGCGGAACATTTCTCGGGGTTGGCGTGGGGCGGCCAAGTTGCGTGGGCCAGGCCGGAGAGGTTGCAGCTGAGAGTTGGCGGAAGAGCGGGTGGCTGTCTGGGGGCACCGTGTGGCTGCATGTGAGGCGAAAGACAACACCCAAAACACCCAAAACACCCGAAACAAACACGAAAAAGGGACTTAGACGAGAAAAACTTACCTCGAGTCGGGAGAGTCCTGACGCGCCTGGCTGGCAGTTTTACCACCCCACCTCGCGCCGTGTCTTCCCCTCTCAGGACGTCACGTTTGACGAGTCAATCCCCTTTTACCGTCTCTTCCCCTACCGCACTGCCCCGCTCCCCCCTCCGCCGCTCTTCCTCACGCCAGGTGCTGCTTCGGTAGACCCCCTGCCTCCCCAGGGTCCTGCTCCCTCAGGTGTTTCCCAGGTAGACCCGGTCGAGCCTGTCGAGGTAGCTGTCGACTCTAGTCCTGCGCGAGGTACTGAGCGTGCTGAGCCTGAGCGTGCTGAGCCTGGTGGTGCTGGGTCTGGGGGTACTGAGACTGGGGGTGCTGAGCCTGGGGGTGCGGAGACTGGGGGTGCTGAGCCTGGGGGTGCTGAGACTGGGGGTGCTGAGCCTGGGGGTACTGAGCCTGGGGGTGCGGAGCCTGGGGGTGTAGAGCCTGGAGGTCCTGAGCCTGGGGGTGCTGCGCCTGGGGGCGCTCTCTCTTCCCAGCAGCTGCGTGAGTGGTACTCTTGGTACTGTCGCCGCCGCCGTGGTGCTGTGGGCGCTGGAGGTGCTGCTGGAGCTGGAGCTGAGGGCGCTGGGCCTACTGGAGTTGGTGTAGCTGCTGACCCTAGGGTTGGCGCTGGAGGTGCTGGAGCTACTGGTCCTGGAGGTGCTCGTACTAGCGGTACTGGAGCTGCTGGGACTGGGGGTGCTACTGGAGCTGCTGGAGGTGCTACTGGTACTGGGGCTGGTGGTGTTGCAGGGGCTGGAGCTGGAGGTGCTGACACTCGTCCTCCTGCAGGTACTGGAGCCGACGGTGCGGCTGGAGCTGGTGCTACTGGGGGTACTGGAGTTGGTGCTACTGGAGCTGCTGGTGGTGCTGCAGGAGTTGGAGCTGCTGCTGGGGGTTCTAGTGCTGTCTCTGCTGGTTCTGGGGGCACTTCACGGCCGCGGCCGTACTTCGTACCCCTCCTCCAGCAGGTTCTTGGTCAGCCGCCTCCTCCTTGTCCTGCTCCCTCCTTAGAGTGTCCTCCACCTGTCTAGTCGCAATCACAGTTACCGCCTGCCTCGCCACTCCCTGGTCCTTCTCCCTACACTGGTCCGACAGGAGGTCTTACGGAGCGTCGTGAGCCTGAGTCTCGCCCTGTGTCGCCTGAGTCTCGTTCTGCGTCACCTGTTCGTGCTGCTCGCACTGGTCGTCGTGTCCCGCATCAGCGTCCTCCTGCAGTCCCAGGCACTCACCAGATGACGCTTCGTCTTTCCACTGCTCCACAGCGTGTCCCTCTGCCTTCTCCTCTTGCGTCCTCTCTTCCTGCCCTTGCTGACCCGGAGTTTGACTCTCTTCGTGCTGCTAGTCCTACTGTCACGCGTCTCCTGGCCACTGCTGTCACTGACCCTTCCTTTGAGTCAGCTGCTGCGTCTGCCTTAGTTGCTGAGCTTGTCGACTTTGCTGCTCACTGTCGTCTAGACTACGCTGCCATTCTTGTTGCTGAGTCTGAGTCTATCTGTCCTCCGTCCGTCGGGGGTGAGTGTGCTCTTGGCACGGACGTCCTTGAGGACAGGCAGGAGGAGTTTGAGTGCTTTGCCGCTGCTGTACCTCATCTCGTGTCCATGCTGATTGCACCTGAGGGAGACCCGGATGCACCAGACATCCCGACCCCGTGCTCTTACGCTGAGGCGATCGCGGGTGAGTACTCCTCTCAGTGGCAGTCAGCCATGGACGCAGAGATGGCATCCTGGAAGTCCACTGGCACTTACGTCGACGAGGTTCCCCCTCCTGGGGCGAACATCGTCAGTGGCATGTGGATTTTCAGGGTGAAGCGGCCGCCAGGTTCTTCGCCTGTCTTCAAGGCTCGTTACGTTGCTCGAGGCTTCAGTCAGCGAGAGAGAGTAGACTTCTTCCAGACCTTCTCCCCCACCCCGAAGATGACCACTCTTCGGGTGCTACTGCACGTTGCCGCTCAGCGTGACTACGAGCTTCACTCTCTTGACTTCAGAACAGCTTTCTTGCAGGGCAGCCTACACGAGGAGATCTGGCTGCGCCGCCCTCCTGGCTTCACTGGGTCGTTCCCTCCTGGTACCCAGTGGAGCCTCCGGCGGCCGGTCTACGGTCTCTGCCAGGCGCCACGTGAGTGGCACGACACACTGAGGACTACACTTGCGGCTCTTGGGTTCGCGCCTTCTACTGCTGACCCGTCGCTGTTTCTGCGCATTGACACTTCGCTGCCGCCGTTCTACATCCTCGTGTACGTCGACGACTTGGTCTTTGCCACTGCTGACACTGAGGCTCTCGCCCTGGTGAAGTCGGAGCTGCAGAAGAGACACACGTGCACAGACCTGGGTAAACTGCGCAGCTACCTTGGCTTGCAGATCACCCGGGACAGAGCACGCCGCACCATCACACTGACTCAGTCACACATGGTGCACCAGGTCCTTCAGCGCTTCGGCTTTACCTGGTCCTCGGCACAGGCCACTCCTCTGGCTACAGGTCACTCGCTCTCAGCTCCACCTTCGGACGAGTCCGTAGAGCCGAGTGGTCCTTACCCAGAGCTAGTTGGCTGCCTCATGTACCTGATGACTTGCACTCGTCCTGACCTCGCGTACCCTCTTGGCCTTCTGGCTCGCTACGTGGCTCCTGGTCGGCACCGAAAGGTGCACATGGATGCTGCTAAGAGGGTACTGTGCTACTTGTGCAGTACATCAGGCATGGGGCTCGTGCTTGGAGGGAGGAGCTCAGTTGTTCTCACTGGGCACTCAGACGCTTCTTGGGTCGACGACCAGGCTACTCAGCGGTCGTCACAGGGTTACACCTTCAGCCTTGGCTCTGGTTCAGTTTCTTGGCGTTCTACACGCTCGTCTTAAGTTCTCAGCTCCAGTTGTGAGGCTGAGATCTACGCCACAGCCATGGCTGCACAGGAGTTACGTTGGCTCACCTACCTGCTGACTGACTTGGGAGAGCCACCTCGTTCTCCTCCAGTGCTGTACGTCGACAACAAGGCTACCATTGCCTTGTGTGAGGAGCACAGACTGGAGCACAGGACGAAGCACATCGCTCTGCGTTACTTCCTGGCTCGAGAGTTGCAGCAGCGTGGTCAGCTTCGTCTGCGTTACGTGGCCACTCGGGCCAACACTGCTGATATATTCACCAAGGCACTTCAGTCTGGTGATCATCAGCCTTTCTGCACTATGCTAGGGCTTGTGCCCACTTTTCCTCACTTGCTGTAGGCTGTGCTTGTACTGTGATCTATATATATATACCTGCATGCTTGCTTTGCCTTTCTTGACTGGTCTTGTGACCCCTTGCTCTCCCCCACTTTGCCTATGGGGGTGTGTCAAATGTTATATCTGCTACAGTTGGTTTAGGCTGTAGTGGGGTAGTTACTATGGGGTACAGTAAGTTAGGGTACTTGTACCCAACCCTTTCCTAGTGCAAACACCCTTGTTCATTCTGAAATGATTGGTCAGTGTCCAATAACGTCTCATTCTGATTCGTCAGGGTTCAGAGCAAGAAATCAGTGTTCCAGTCAATCACACAAATTTCTCCCACGCTGTATACATTTCCCACACCTCACTTCCTGGCCGGTCAAAGTCAACAGAAAGCACAACCGAGTTGGCAGTCGTGATTGTACTGTACTGAAGTCACAGAAAGCGTTGGGTCAGATTACGGTTTTGAAGTTCGCCCGCCATAAAGATCTGGGCAAGTGTACCCGAAAGTACACGTCAGTGTGACTTGGCACCACACAGCCACGAATATGGCCCACAATGCGCCACCCATGCGAACTGACTGCACGATATCGCGTGGTGTCTGCGACTGCGACCCAAAGTACAGAGCACGCCAGCACACGCCAAAGTACTGTGTACGTTCGCCATCAACCACAGTGTACGTACATTTGCAGACGGTGAGCGAAACACCTCGAAACAACCCCCAAAAAAACTGGCGCCAAGAATGGCGACAAAACAGCACATCTAACGAACTGGCGATGGTGTATCCCCCTACCTTGATAAATGGTCATGTGCTTCGGAGAAGAATTTCGCACAATAAATTTGCCCTGTCAGAGCAAATTCGCACAAGAAATTTGCCCTGTCAAGGACAAGAGATTCGCTCTGACACAGCAGATCTGCTGTGTCAGAGGTGTTCTGCCGAAAATCCCCGCAGCACGCTGCGCCTCGCACGACACCACAAACATCCACCCCACCCCACCTTCCCCCCAAACATCCACCCCACCTTCCCATCTGGGTGTTACTTGTCGGTATTACTGTACAGAAAGGGCTCCCTCACATGGGTACAAGCGAAATCATGATTACGCACATGGGGGGTTATCGGGAGGAAAGTTCCGTGAACCTTCGTCCCGATACCCTCGCATTCAGGGTCCACAAAACGCGTACTCTACTTTGACAGAGTCAGTAAGAACAGTACTCTGAGCCTAGATACAATATTTCAGGGTTCGCTAAAGCACTATTCCGAATGGATCAGTGTTCACAAGTCAGAGATTCTGAAATTGCAGGGACCACAAGGTGAGAAGCATGTAATCACCCTGAAATCAGGGTAATTACCCTGATAAAATCAGCCCTGATGTTCACCCTAGCTATGTTTTATGCATTTGTAGAAAGTCCCCCCGGGTCCTATAGCCGGAATCATACGGTACTCTGAGAGTGTATACAAAACTTCAGAGTCCCCTGAAGTATTACCCTTATTGGATCAGTGTTGAAAACTCACCCCCGCCCTCCTCTCCCCCCCCCCTCCCCTCCCCTCCCCTCCCCTCCCCTCCCCACCCTCCCCTCCCCTCCCCTCCCCCCCCCTCCCCTCCCCTCCCCTCCCCTCCCCCCCCCCTCCCCTCCCCTCCCCTCCCCTCCCCTCCCCTCCCCTCCCCTCCCCTCCCCTCCCCTCCCCTCCCCTCCCCTCCCCTGGTTGTGACTCAAGTTCTCAACTCCCTGTAGCCCGTCGCAACTGATGACAGGGGAGAGAGAACCCCCGCAAGTCCGCCAACACTGAAGTATGGTTCGCTTCTCACTTCCAACCCTTAACAGGGTAACCACCCAAGGCAAGTCATAAACCTTTGCCTCCACCCCCCCCGCCCCCCCAAACTGCACCCTTGCTTTAAAGCCCCACCCGTTGCATGTCTTAAAGCCCCACCTGCTGCATGTCTTAAAGCCCCACCTGCTGCATGTCTTAAAGCCCCACCTGCTGCATGTCTTAAAGCCCCACCTGCTGCATGTTGGGCAGGAAGACCCCTCGGAGGCCGCAGCGGTACATGAGGAAGACGAGGCACGTGAAAGCGTGCTCCTTGGCCACGCTCATCAACATGTGGAGAGAGTGATGGAAGCAGGCATAGACAGGGTGAAAGAGAGAGTGGAAAGAGAGAGAGATGGAGGAGTGTGAGGGAGGGGAAGGGGAGGACGGGGTGGAAACGTGAGAGAGCATTGATACGAGGAAAGGGGCCGACAAAAAAGAGTGGCAGAGCCGTGAGGGATCAAGCTACGGGTGGCGAGGACACGTGGGCACGACTGGAAGGAATGAAGATGCAGGACAAGGGAGGGATGGGGAGGCGACGGAAGAAGGAAAGGAAAGACAACAATGGATTACACGGTGAGAAGTGAAATAGCCATTGGAAGATAAAAAAAAAATGACGAAGAAAGGGATAGAGAGAGGGCAAGGGGAGGGAGAGAGGGCAGGGGAAGAGGGGGAGGGAAAGGGGAGGGGGGAGAGGGCAAGAGGAGGGCAAGGGGAGGGGGAAGGGCAAGGGGAGGGGGAGAGGGCTAGAGGACGCAAACCTGGCAGTAGCCGACCTCCTTGTCCAACACCTGGTGGGCAGGGGAGGCGCGTGCCGGGGAGGGGCGTGCGGGGGAGGGGCGAGAGACGAGGAGGGAAGAAATGAGGCAGGGACAGAAGGGCACAGCAGAGTAGATGGGAACAGCAGAGAGCACTTAGCAGGGCACGGCAGAGAGCACATAGGGGGCAGAGAGCTCATAGCGGGGAAGGGCAGGGCAGGGCAGGGCAGGGCGGGGCACGGCAGGACCCAGGCGGCGCCCCTCTGGTTGCGCGGCACACGGCCCGCCAGCAACGCCTCCACCACATGGCCCGCCAGCACCACCTCCACCAAACGGCCCGCCAGCACCACCTCCACCAGCGTCATCCCCGCCGGCAGCTCAATCACACTCGCCCCTCCACTCATGCCCGTGCCCATGCCCATGCCAATGCCAGCGCCCATGCCCATTCTCGCCCCCAGGCTGGCACTGTGGCTTAGATGCTGCTGGGTGGGGAAGAGAGGCGTGGGGATGCTTCGTGCTGAAAGAATGTGTGGTGGGTGGAAACTGAACGGCAATGAGGAGAGGAGCAAGTTGGAATTAGCAGAGGCTGATTCTAGCCATCGGGCTGAAAAGGAGCGGAAGGGAGGGAGGGGAAAGGTGTGAAGAAGTAAATGGAAGCCCGGAGGAAGAAGCGGCAGTGGACTAGCATTGATGGCAAGGAGGAGATTCGCATGTGTGCATGTGACACAAGGAACACTGGTGGCGCATGGGGGAATGCAGGAGGCCACGTCAGCAGCAGCCCTGCTGTGCTTGAGCGCGCAGCCACTCGCTGTGCTTGAGCGCGCAGCCACTCGCTGTGCTTGGCAGTAGGGGTGGGTAGTGAGCTTGAGTGACACGGGCAGTGTAGCAGCGGGGCAGTGGAGCAGTGGGGCAGTGGGTGCGGGGCAGCACCTGGGATGATGCGCGCAGCAGCAGCATGAGAGGGGTTGGGTTGGTGAGCGAGGGGTGGGAGAGCGAGGGTTGGGAGAGAGAGGGGTGGGAGAGAGAGGGGTGGGAGAGAGAGGGGTGGGAGAGGGAGGGGTGGGAGAGAGAGGGGTGGGAGAGGGAGGGGTGGGAGAGAGAGGGGTAGAAGAGGATGATAATAGCAAGGGGGGAAATGGGTTGGAGAGATCAAGAGGGCGAGAAAGCGCCATTTCAGTGGATTGCTATACCTTCGGCTTTCATACCTGGTAGGCGCAGGTAGCCCTTCCTATGAAAATCAGCAACGCCTCGACGCGCAGGTCAGCACAGGTAGGCGAAGGCAGCAATGCCTCGACGCGCCTCATGACTCCCCCATTTCACTCGCACACATGCACCCAGCCCTGCTAGCCCACTTGCAAGGATCCCATCCCATCCCATCCCATCCCATCCCATCCCAACCCATCCCATCCCATCCCATCCCATCCCATCCCATCCCCCCATCCCATCCCATCCCAACCCATCCCAACCCATCCCATCCCATCCCATCCCATCCCATCCCATCCCATCCCATCCCATCCCATCCCCCCATCCCATCCCATCCAACCCATCCCATCCCATCCCATCCCATCCCATCCCATCCCATCCCATCCCATCCCATCCCCCCATCCCATCCCATCCCAACCCATCCCAACCCATCCTATCCCATCCCATCCCATCCCATCCCATCCCAACCCATCCCATCCCATCCCATCCCCCCATCCCATCCCATCCCATCCCAACCCATCCCATCCCATCCCATCCCATCCCATCCCATCCCATCCCATCCCATCCCCCCATCCCATCCCAACCCATCCCAACCCATCCCATCCCATCCCATCCCATCCCATCCCATCCCATCCCAACCCATCCCATCCCATCCCATCCCCCCATCCCATCCCATCCCAACCCATCCCAACCCATCCCATCCCATCCCATCCCATCCCATTCCATCCCATCCCATCCCATCCCATCCCATCCCATCCCATCCCCCCATCCCATCCCATCCCAACCCATCCCAACCCATCCCATCCCAACCCATCCCATCCCATCCCATCCCATCCCATCCCATCCCATCCCCCCATCCCATCCCATCCCAACCCATCCCAACCCAACCCATCCCATCCCATCCCATCCCATCCCATCCCATCCCATCCCATCCCATCCCCCCATCCCATCCCATCCCATCCCATCCCATCCCATCCCATCTCATCCCATCCCACCCCACCCCATCCCATCCCATTCGATCCCATCTCCCCATCCCAACCCATCCCATCCCATCCCATCCCATCCCATCCCATCCCATCCCATCCCATCCCATCCCCCCATTCCATCCCATCCCAACCCATCCCAACCCATCCCATCCCATCCCATCCCATCCCATCCCATCCCCCCATTCCATCCCATCCCAACCCATCCCAACCCATCCCATCCCATCCCATCCCATCCCATCCCATCCCATCCCCCCATCCCATCCCATCCCATCCCATCCCATCCCATCCCATCCCCCCATTCCATCCCATCCCAACCCATCCCAACCCATCCCATCCCATCCCATCCCATCCCATCCCATCCCATCCCATCCCATCCCATCCCATCCCATCCCCCCATCCCATCCCATTCCATCCCATCCCATCCCATCCCATCCCATCCCATCCCATCCCATCCCATCCCATCCCATCCCATCCCATTCCATCCCATCTCCCCATCCCATCACATCCCATCCCATCCCAACCCATCCCATCCCATCCCATCCCATCTCATCCCATCCCATCCCATTCCATCCCATCCCGTCCCATCCCATCCCATCCCATCCCATCCCATCCCATCCCATCCCATCCCATCCCATCCCATCCCATCCCATCCCATCCCATCCCATCCCATTTCATCCCATCCCATCTTATCCCATCCCATCCCATCCCATCCCCATCCCCTCCCAGCCCATCCCATCCCATCCCATCCCACCGCATCTCACCTGCACGGACCCATCTCACCTGCATGGACCCATCTCACCTGCACGGACCCATCTCACCTGCACGGACCCATCTCACCTGCACGGACCCATCTCACCTGCACGGACCCATCTCACCTGCACGGACCCATCTCACCTGCACGGACCCATCTCACCTGCACGGACCCATCTCACCTGCACGGACCCATCTCACCTGCACGGACCCATCTCACCTGCACGGACCCATCTCACCTGCACGGACCCATCTCACCTGCACGGACCCATCTCACCTGCACGGACCCATCTCACCTGCACGGACCCATCTCACCTGCACGGACCCATCTCACCTGCACGGAGCCAGACGGCTGCATGGCGGTGAGCAGCTCGTCCTCTCCGCCCCGCTGCTGCCCCTCGCCCCACGCCCTCGCTCCGCCCGCGCCCATACCCCCTCCGCATGGCGCTGCTGCCGCTCCCGCACGCACGGCGCGGAGAGGGGGCGAGCGAGAGGAGGGGAAGAGGGGGAGGGGAATGTAGGCGAACGTTGAAGGGAAGGGAGGATGAAGAGGGCGAGAGGGCGAGAGGGCGAGAGGGCGAAAGTGGACGGAGAATATCGGAGGCACAGCCTAGAGGGGCAGCCTAGAGGGGCAGCCTAGAGGGGCAGCCTAGAGGGGCAGCCTAGAGGGGCAGCCTAGAGGGGCAGCCTAGAGGGGCAGCCTAGAGGGGCAGCCAGAGGTCGCTCTCTGCGCAGCAGGGCAATCCGCGGGTGTCGAAGAGCGCATCAACGCCGCCAACCGACCTCGGTCGGCGCAGCTGATTCTCGCGCGCTTGCGAAAAAGGTTACTGCTACTCGCTCACCTCGCAATGCGACGGTAGAAGGACGAGTTTCGTATAGTCCAGTGGTAACGACTTTAGCGAAACAGTGTTCGTGAATGTGGTTACCACGAATGCGACAAATAGGCGTGACAAAACACGGCGATCAGAAATCTAATGGAGCATGCTGTTAGGAAAACCGCTATCTACCAGAACAACGGGAGGGGCGGGTGAAGAACGCGCGCATTGCGCATGTTGCTGGTGATGTGGTCTGGTGGACCTCATGGGATGTCAAATGCCTAGATGTAGCGATTGGATCGGTTTAGGGCGTGTTATGCAACTTAAAAAAAAACCCATTTTCGAAGCTTAGTTACCAGGTTGCAATTTTGTGACCATCGTGAAATACGTAAACGGAAATTCGGTTTGCGCTTCAATTCTTCCTGGCATATTGGGAAGGGACAGGGTTTGTACGTGCTTTGCAAGCGAGCTCAAAACGCCACCAGCGTTCCCGAGTTTCGAGATCGTGAGGTGAATTTTGCGAACTAAAAAACTGTCAACGCCCCAACAACATACCGCATAACACGCCCTTAGTGACCCTGTCCACAGTTCTGGCAGAAACTATTATTTTCCGCGGTGTCCAGCCTCTTAGAATCTTTCCATCAAGCGTTATATAATCCCTCCCTAAACTCCGATGAACCTCCATTTCTGTATCTGAAAGCCGAGATCCCACGAATCCGCCGAAAGCAGCCACTACCTACCACACCCGCCAGTTTACCCCTGCTAAAGTCTAGATCCCCCAGTTTTCGTCAGATCTACAATTTTTCTGATGGTATGGACGCTGGCCACCCCGCCGTGCGCGCTTTCCCTGTTTAAGCTTATACTTTTCGTCCCTAACGCCACTCGTCGTCGCTCGTATCCTTTCGTCTCTTTTCGTCTCCGTTTTCCCCCGCTTCCTGTGCTCCCGATTCCTTTCCCCGCCAGTTGCCTTTGTCGCTGCTCAAAATGGCGCAAGGCCATCCCATGGTACGTAGCTTACGCAGTTCCAAAGTAATTTTCGTTAACGACGTAATTCCTGGAGTTCCTGAGCTCGTGTTTGTGAGTGCTCTGTGAAACACATAGTCCACTCGTGCCTCCCCACTCCCCCACTTTAGTAAGGTTCGAGTTGGACCAATCCATTACGGCGGTAGTTTCTGTCCCTTTAAAGTGCATGTTGAGCTTTAGGTCTTGTAATATTGTTCAGTACTGGGTTATGTAGAAACTCGATGTAAAAACTCCGAAATCTCCACGGATTCCGATTCACAGTCTCGTTGATGAGTTTCCAACCCGCGGTAACTAAAACTCGCACTCTGTTGACACGTGTATGAAAGAAACAACCATCTGCAGGAGGTAATCTGCACGTCCCCATTCTCTTTCCCCTTCCACCCTCCCCCATTCCCTCTCTTAGCGCTTCACTCCTCTTCACTCCTCTCCACTCCTTGCTGCCGTCAATTCAGCTGGTAGAGCTGAAGAATGGCGAGACGTGCAACGGGCATCTGGTGAGCTGCGACACGTGGATGAACATCCATCTGCGCGAGGTCATCTGCACCTCCAAGGACGGCGACCGCTTCTGGCGCATGCCGCAGTGCTACGTGCGCAGCAACACCATCAAGTACCTGCGCGTGCTTGATGAGGTGCGTGGGTGGGTGGGTGGGTGGGTGGGTGGGTGGGGGAGAAGGGGGAAGGGTCTGTGTGTTGTCAGCTGCATGAATCAGTGCTACGTGCGAGGCACCACCATCAAGTACCTGCGCGTGCCAGGCGAGGTGGGTGGTGGTTGGGGGGAAAGGGGCGAGGTGGGTGGGGGTTGGGAGGGAAGGGGCGAGGTGGGTGGGGGTTGGGGGGAAAGGGGCGAGGTGGGTGGGGGTTGGGGGGGAAGGGGCGAGGTGGGTGGGGGTTGGGGGGGAAGGGGCGAGGTGGGTGGGGGTTGGGAGGGAAGGGGCGAGGTGGGTGGGGGTTGGGAGGGAAGGGGCGAGGTGGGTGGGGGTTGGGGGGAAAGGGGCGAGGTGGGTGGGGGTTGGGGGGAAAGGGAGCAGGGAGAGCGTTCCATGTGTCTCCTCTTGCAGTTTCAAGAGTGCTACGTGTCACTGTGAGGCAACACCCGCGTACCTGCGAGTGGGTGGGCGGGTGACACCCGCGTGCCAGATGAGGTGGGCGGGTGGGTGGGTGGTGTGTGCTGTGACCCGTAGCTGGTTGAGATGATTCACTACCCGTAGCTGCCTCAACATGGACCTTTTGGAATGACGTGTGCTTTCTGCCTGCCCCAATATGTTCGTTGTAAGCTTTTCTAGAATAGAAACGACTCAAACCTCGTTTGTTTTCTTGTGTGGCCCACTCGATCCATGTTCATTCATTGTGTGCAATTTAGGTGATTGGCGAAGTTTTAAAGTCCAAAAAGGTTAAGTTCTTACTAGACTCAAATGTCATGTGCTTCTATGTGTGTTGTCCTCTCCATCCCTCCATGTACATTGTGTGTTGTGTGCATCCCAGGTGATCGACAAAGTACAAGAGGAGGTCATCAGAAGACAAGGTAAATTACTCCATGCCTTGCCACAATACCATGCTTACCCCCTCACCTCCATGCCCTCCTCGTTTCCGCACCCCCTCTCTCCCTACCCCTTTGCTCCCTCCCCCTCTCTCGGTACCCCCTTCTCTGTGTGCACCTCTCTATCTGTGCACCCCTCTATCTGTGCACCCCTCTATCTGTGCACCCCTCTATCTGTGCACCCCTCTATCTGTGCACCCCTCTATCTGTGCACCCCTCTATCTGTGCACCCCTCTATCTGTGCACCCCTCTATTTGTGCACCCCTCTATCTGTGCACCCCTCTATCTGTGCACCCCTCTATCTGTGCACCCCTCTATCTGTGCACCCCTCTATCTGTGCACCCCTCTATCTGTGCACCCCTCTATCTGTGCACCCCTCTATCTGTGCACCCCTCTATCTGTGCACCCCTCTATCTGTGCACCCCTCGCTCCCTACCCCTCTCTCCCGACCCCCCCCCCACTCCGTACCGCCCACACTGCCTGCCCCACTCTCTCCCTATTCCCCTCTCTGTACCCCCCTCTCTCCCTCTGGCCCACTCTCTCCGTACCCCCTCTTTCTGTACCCCTTTCACGTCCTGCCCCATTCACTCCCTTCAGAGTGCGGGCGGACACAGCAGGGCAGGGATGCATGCCTTGTTTTGCCCTACTAACCCCTTCTCTGTCTGCCCTCCTCTGACTCTCCCTTCAGATTGCGAGCTGATACAGCAGGGCAGGGGGAGAGGAGGCAGAGGGCGCATGGACGTGTGGGGAAGGGGAAGAAATTCTCAGCACTTCAAATCTTGCCCCACAAACCTCATTCCCACCCCCCTTTTCCCCCTTACTCCTGGACTCCCTTCCTTCCTACTCCCACTATTCCCTCCCTTGCTCCCAGATCGTCGGCCGATACAGCAGGGCAGGGGGAGAGGAGGCAGAGGGCGCATGGACGAGGGGGGAGGGGGGAGAGGAGGGCGGGGAAGAGGGTGGGACGACGGGGGGCGAGGAGGAGGGAGAGGAGGAAGAGGAGGTGGAAGAGGAGGAGGTGAGTACGGTTTTGCAGGGTAGTTTGTTGCTTTGTGAGGTACTGTATTCCTGTCCTTTTCTTAAACATCTCAATGTTATGTTATTGTAATTGTTTGCCTGGTTGTTGCAATATATGATTCCCTCCTATTCCTTCATGGTTGGCTGACATACATTTTTGCCAGCATATTTTCACATGATCACTCTCTGATGATTCTTTTTTTCCTTTTCAGGACCAGGAGGGAGAGGCAGGGGCTGAGCGGCCACTGGTTGGGAGTGTGGGATGGGAAGTGTGTGTGCAACAGCTCAGTCAGTGCACACTCCTTGGTATTGTGGTGCACTGTGCTCTTTGGGAACTGGCTAGTTTCAATTAACATGGCTTTGGAGTTGCAGTCAATGCGCCCTGACATGTGTGCAACAGCCCAGTGCTCTGCAGAAACATGGCGCTCAGTACTCGGCAGGATCAATCAATCGAATATCACATCAGTCTGAGTTAAATGGTTTTGGAGAGCTCACGAGTCGGTGAACTTTCAACTACTGCATATAAGCTACTGGGCAGGGCTGTCGTTTCAAGAAGAAGTCTGAGTTTGATCCTCCCAGAGCCCCCCTCTTTTTCTCTCATTTTACCTAAGACAGCATTTAAGTTGCAAAATGGCAACCAAATAATCGATGGAACACTTGTATAGTGCTTCTATAGTAGCTGTGTCGATGTTACTCCTAATATTTACACTGAGTTACTGGTTTGGTTGGTGAGTAAAACGGGTCCGAACCCGCATTTCTCGGTTTCCTCACTACGCCTCGGATCGCGTTGCTACTTGACAAACGCGTCAGCAACAAAATTGGTGGCAGAGGTGAAGCTAGTTACCGTACTGGAACGTATTGCGTTGTCTTAAACCTTGGCCGTAGTCATATTTGCCGATTTGAACCCAATGTTTTCATCTGCCTTGATCACCACACTTGGCGGCGTGAATCGCGCTGGCTTGGGTAAAACGGGTTCACCGTACTGGAACGCAAAGCGTCGTTTAGCACCCAGGTCCTTCCCATGAAATCCGATTTCAACCCACGTTTTTCAAATGCCTTCATCTGGATTCTTCGCGGCATAAATAGCGCACCTCGGGAGCATCTCTGATTCATCACGTTCATCCCATCTCCCTCCCGATCTCATTCATTTCTCTCCCATCTGTCAACTCGACCCCATCATCTTCGGCCATCATGACAACGCTTTTCCGCCTTACGAACATTGTCCGCGCCGTGCTGGTCATTCATCCGACTGTAATGCAAGACTCTACAAAAAAAAATGTCGAACTCCTCTCCGCCTCCCGCAACCTCGAGACTTCAGCCTCCTCACCCTCTGCTATGCTGCCGCGTCAGCCTGCATGCCAGGACCATTGTCCTCTGGCTTTTGTTTCTCCAGGTTTGGCCTGTGGTAGGTGAGTTCTGCTGTTCCTCTCGTTTGTGGTTTGTGCATGGTTTTCGCTCGGTTTTTGCTCCGGTTTTCTTGGTGTTCTTGCAGGTTAGGCCCTCCTCTCCTCATGTGGTTCGGCTGCCTCTGGATCGGTTCTGCTGGCTTTCTCTGCAGGAATTGTTAGGTTTTACTCTCATCTCACTCTTTGGTGGTTTCCACAGGCCGTCCCTTTGTCACAGCACCTTTGTTGTGCACACACGGCAACTGCTCCCTTGGCTGTCTGCTCTCCTCGTCCTCCTCACTGCCCGGCTTTGCAGGAGGTTTTACGTTCTCTGGAAAACCCTGCTTGCGCAACTCTTCTCGCTCCATGTCTACTCTCAGCCATGCACTCGTGCTTTGGTGACACGTTATGCTGTGACGGCGCGTACTCCCGCGTGCTCTTTCCATGTACGCTACGCGGCTCCCCTTTTCCTCGCTGTATCCTTGTTGGGTAATGTGTGCCTAGGCCATCGCCAAAGCCACGACCTTGTCACTCGTGAAACTGTAACATTAAATGTCCCCTCCTTGACGCGATGCGTCGAGCCAACCCTCTCACCCCTTCCGCGTCGGACCGCGCTTCCATGCTACAAATCGACATACCATGACAATCCGTCCTTACCACCTGGCGCAATGGATTCCCAGCACAACCCCGACGAACTCATGGGAGAGGAGGAGCTCGGTGCCTCTTTCTCGGTCGAATCCTTTTTCGCTGAGGAAGCGGTCACCCCCGCTGTCTCTGCTCCGCCCCCCGCGAAACGCGTCTGTGCTGCCGGTTCATCCAGTTCTGCGCCTGTGGCTCCCCGTGCGGCCTCGGTGGTGCCGCCCGTCACTCCGGTCATGGCTCCCGTAGCCGGTCCCTCCTCGGCTGCGCCTGCTCCTTCAACGTCGACCCAGGAAGCTAATCCTGTGGTCGCCCTCGCCATCACCGGCCGGTATCAGCGCCTAAGGCGCAACCGTGAGACTGTGGGAGTCGTCGTCGCGGCTCTTGCCCGTGACACTGGTGCTCTTGTCGTGAACCTGTTCCCTGAGGCTCTTGAAGCACATCGCAGTCACATCCTAACCCGCGTCCGCAGCATCCTTCGCGGCCGCGACTTCTCGGGTGGCCGCGTCCCTGTTTTTGAGGCCTCTGCAGGCGAGCTTCTTCGCCTTCCCCGTCGCTCGTACTGCCGTCACATGCTTCAGTGGCCGTCGGTTGATGACGCGAACCGGTTCAAGCAACTCCTGCCGATCACTTACCGCTCGTCCGAAGGGCCGACCGCGGAGATCAAGGTTTACCAGGATCCCGCTCCCGACTTCTCCGCGGCAAAGGCTCGCGGTGAAACAGTGCTGGTGCTGCGTAACGTGCCCGTGGATTTTGCGGTCCAGACGCTTCGGTCCCTGCTCGTGTCAAGTGCCTCGAATGGTGCTAGATGGCTCGGTGATCTCTTGTTCTTTCACAAGTTGTTTGATCCCTATGAGGAATCCTTCCTCCCACAGATGCTCTGCATAGCCGTCGCGCCTCCCAACGACCCGCTGTTCGAGGCCATCCCGGCCGTGATCTGGGTGCCTAACGTCCAAGAGCCCATAGTGGTGAACATCTCGGCACACTCGTGCGGGGTGTGCTCCAGCAACCACCGGACACGCGATCACAGCAACTTCGCGGCGGAGCGAAGGAACCGCATCACTAACCCGTTCCTCATCACTCTTGGGCAACTTCAAAACGTTAACGGTACTCTCCCTCCTTTCCTCCCTATCACATCTGCTGCCCTTGCGCTCCTATACTCAGTGTCACTTTCCTTTTGCGCCTTGGGATTTCCTCTGCTTTTTGGATCCTTTTCTCACCTTCCTCTTCATGCCTGGTGCTGGTCCTGTCTGGCTTTGGTACTGAGTTGGGCATGGAATTACCTTCTCCTACCTTTCCTGGCATGGTGTTATGCTCCTTCGGGTTTTGCCCCCTGACACCTTCCAGCCAGGATCATTGGCCAGCATCCCTCAGTGGCTTCCTTCAAGGCCGACCCCGGCACCGTCTTCATCGGGACAGACCTCGAAGTGGAGGTGTGGACGTGTGCCCTGTGTTCCTTCTGCTGCGGGTGGGCGCTGGACAGCGCTATGGAACACATCGCCATCTCCTCCCACGCGTCTGCCATCCAGCAGATTGCAGGCAACTCCACGCCTCTGGAGGAGTTCGGGGATATGAAAGCCCACGTTTTCAACCAGAACAGTACCATTGCCAGCTTCCTCTCTCAGGGATAGAGCGGATGTGCCCTTGTAACATGTGGTCTTTGAAATGGCTGTGTACCATTGTATGTGTAATACTGCAGCTTCAGTGGACGGAATTACTCTTCACAAAAAGAGCCTCACATGATCTATCCAAACACACTTCTGTGCACTCTCCCTACTGCCTCAACCAGATCCTGTGCGTCTGCCCCAGTGGGCTACGTTTATGTGTGATTAATGGATACACCGCTTTCTATTCAATGTATTAACACCAATGGTCTTAACTCCCAAGCAAAACAGGATGTTCTCAGGTCATGGTTTACAAGAGAACCTGCGGATATTTTGATCTTAACCGATACTCGCTTGACGTCCAACTTCTCTCAACTTCTTTTCAAACTCAAGCCCAAGGCATACGCTCAAGTTCCTCCCCGCCTCTCTTCCTCTTCGCAAACCAAACCTGGTGGCATTGCTGTCCTTATTTTCAAACCAGGGATCTCTACCTCCAGCAGAGAAGCTTCGGGTGACGGTCGATGCCTCTACCTACACGTCAACTACCTTCAAGATCAGTTCCGGATCCTTGCCATCTACGCCCCAAATCAATACTTAGACCGTCGGGCTTGGTGGTCTTCCACTGTCTCCCATTTCCTCGCTAAACCGTCTGCTAGTTCTGCTACGATCCTATCAGGTGACTTTAATACGGTGGTCTCTCCGATCGATCGTAGCCGGGAATTAAAGCCGTTCGAGCGAACGGAAGCTAAATTGTTGGGCGACATCCTTGAGAAACATTCCCTCTTTGATGGTTACCGCCACCTTTTTCCCAACCAACCAATGTTTTCCTTACGCGCCCCGCAACGTATCAACACCCCCAATGTTGCCCCCTCTTCCTCTCGGTTGGACAGGACCTATGTTTCAACCACATGGTCTGATCGTGTCCTGCATTCATCATACACCTCCGTGCCCCCTCCCCTGTCTGATCACAACAGAGGCCCCCTGCTCTCCCTGCGCTTTCGCAATCCCAATATGGCCACCCGCCCCTGGCGATTTCCGCAACATCTCATTCAAAAACCTTTTGTTCACCTCACCTTGAAGAACCTCATCCCTCTCCTTCCCACCTGTTTTTCCACCGAGGACTGGGACTGATGGAAGAATCGCCTCTCTCGCCAACTAATGTGGTACAGTAAAGAGGAGAAGACTTGTGTACGTAGGACTGTCTCACACCTCAATGACGAAGTCTGTCACCTGCAGCTTCATCTCCTCAAGAACCCATCCGATCACGCTGCCTCGACTCGCTTTGCCTCACTGAACAAGAGCCTGGAGTCTTATGAACTCTCCCGGGCGGCGGAAATTGCTCTCAAAGCACAATTGAAAGTGGAAGGTGCCAGGGAGATGGGCGTGTCATCCCTCCTGGTCGGCCTTCAAAACCGTGTCAAAGACGCTACGATTTCCCAGCTCCAACTGCCCTCAGGAGATGTCATCTCTGATCTCCCTTCCATGTCTGCGCATTGCACATAGTACTTTTCTTCTCTCTACAGTGGTGCTTCACAGGTGTCACGGAACCCAACCTTTTGGCAACATGTAGTCCCTTCAATCCTCCCCCAGTCAATCTCCTCTCGTCTCGATCGTCCCTTCTCCTCTGAGGAGATCGAACGTGCGTTAGGGCAGTTGTCTCGGGGCAAAACTCCCGGCCCGGACGGTCTGCCATGCGACTTCTTCCGCTCCCACAAAACGCTTTTTACTCCTCTTTTTCTCCAACTTTGCAATTCCATTTCCGCCGAAGGTCATATTGTCAGAACATTATAGCTTATGCTGTTGTGTAGGCTATAGTGGGGTATCCCATAGGGGGTACAACCAATTAGGGTTTCATATTTGTACTCACTTCATTTCATAGTTCATCAATTCTTGTTCAAATCTTCTCATGGTATCGAGCAGGTTCCCCCTTGGGAACTGTGCTTAGGGCCCACCACATCGATTTTTTTTTCCTGCCCGAAGCGCGCTCAGCCCGAGTCGCGCTCCGGGCCCTCACTTCGTCGAGCCGCCCTAGCGGCCCTGCACTGCGGCCCCGCCACCCGTCTCCGTGGCCCCGCCGCCCTACCTCGCGGCCTCGCCGCCCCATTGCGCGGCCCCGCCGCCCTACCTAGCGGCCCCGCCGCCCCATCGCGGCCCCGCCGCCCTTCCTCGCGGCCCCGCCACCCCATCGCGCGGCCCCGCCGCCCCATCGCGCGGCCCCGCCGCCCCATCGCGCGGCCCCGCCGCCCTACCTAGCGGCCCCGCCGCCCTTCCTCGCGGCCCCGCCACCTTACCTGCGGCCCCGCCCTTACCTGCGGCCCCGCCGCCCTCTGCTGCGGCCCCGCCACCTTACCTGCGGCCCCGCCACCTTACCTGCGGCCCCGCCACCTTACCTGCGGCCCCGCCACCCTATCTGCGGCCCCGCCACCCTACCCGCGGCCACGCCGCCCTTACCAGCGGCCCCGCCGCCCTTACCTGCGGCCCCGTGCCCTGCAGCAGCACAGCCGAGCCGCCCAGCAGCCGAGTCGCCGAGCCGCCCAGCAGCCGAGCCGCCCAGCAGCCGAGCCGCCGAGCCGCCCAGCAGCCGAGCTGCCCAGCAGCCGAGCCGCCCAGCAGCCGAGCCGCCCAGCCGCCGCGCCGCCCAGCAGCCGAGCCGCCCAGCAGCCGAGCCGCCCAGCAGCGGAGCCACCGAGCCGCCGGGCCGCCCAGCAGCTGAGCCGCCGAGCCGCCGCGCCGCCCTCCTTCAGGGCCGCCCGACCTGCCCAGTCTGGTGAGCACAGCGCCTTTTCACTGCACTGTCCTCACCCCACTGTTTGCGCTGCTAGTCGTCTAGGGTCATGGCTACCCCTAGTGTTCTCGCCTTTGACGCTGAGGGTAGGGCCATTGACTTTGAGGTCTGGGTAGATGACCTGCAGCTGTTCTTACAGTGCGATAGGGCAGACGGCCTCTCTCTCTTTGACCTCACCTCTGGCACCTCCACTGCCCCTGCTGCTGATGCTGACGCCACTGTTCGCTCCCAGTGGGCCACGCGCGATGCTGCTGCACGTCTTGCTGTGCGTCGCCACCTCCCTACCTCCGAGCGTGCGCACTTTAGTCAGTACAAGAGTGCTCAGACCTTGTACGACGCTGTAGTTGCGCGCTACTCCTCCCCTGCCACTGCTGCACTGAGCCGTCTCATGCTACCGTACCTCTTTCCTGATCTTACTGCCTTTCCCACAGTCACTGACCTCATTACGCACCTCCGCACTAGTGACACTCGCTACCGCGCTGCACTCCCTCCTGACTTCTGCGCCAGGAACCCCCCCCCCATGTACATCACTCTTTACTACATAGTCACTCGCCTTCCTGACTCCCTTCGCGTAGTCAGGGACCACTTTCTCTCTGTCTGTCCCACCACTCTCACTGTTGACCTCCTCGAGAAGTCCCTCCTAGCGGCCGAGAAGAGCATAGTCGCTGTAGGGGCCTCTCGTGGTGACCCGCGCACCCCCATCTTTGAGGGGTGTTCCCCCTCCCCCCTTCTGCCCTCTGTTGCCTCTGCTGCTGCGGCCGACCTCCTTGTTCTTGAGTCGGTCGGTGCGGCGTCTGCCCCTAGCGGGAGACGCCGCTCTGGCAAGGGCAAGGGGGGCAAGGGCGCTGGAGGAGCGAGCGGGGGCGGTGGAGGTGGAGGTGGCGGCAGTTGGGGGAGTGGGGGTGGCGGTGGGAGTGGAGGTGGGGGTGGAGGGGTCGGTGGCGGCAGTGGAGGTGGAGGTGGCGGCGGCGGTGGCGGTGGGAGCGGAGGTGGTGGAGGTGGCGGAGGTGGAGGCGGCGGCGGAGGCGGAGGCGGCGGCAGTAGCGGAGGCGGCGGAGGCGTCGGAGGCGGCGGGGGTGGCGGTGGTGCTGGTCGCGGGTCTTCGCAGAGGAGTGGCTCCGGTGGTGGCTCGCGCCAGCAGCAGCAGCGTGGTCGTGACACCCTGTCCCCTCAGCAGCTTCGTGAGTGGTACACTGCGCGTCAGCGGGGTGGGGGTTTTGGTCCGTGCTCCTACGTTTTGCGCACTGGCGACCGTGCGGGTGAGCAGTGTGGGGGTGCCCACCCCACCCAGCGCTGCTTTGGCCGCCTGACGGACGCGTGGCGTCACCAGTTCCCGGAGGCCTCCGAGATCCCTCGCTGGGGCGAGCTGTCTAGGGCGGGTGTTGCCATCTATGATCTTGACTTTGATGCTATTCTCTCTGCCATGTATGCTGTGTCTATTAGTGATGAGGGTGACTGTTACCGGTGTTTCCCGCCCGATCCGGGCATTGAGACTGCTGCTCTAGGTCCTGGTGAGGCTGCTGCCCTAGGTGCTTGCGACGCTGCTGCTCTAGGTGCTCGTGTGTCTGCGTCCTCAGGTACTGGTGAGTCTGCGCTCTCAGGTACTGCGTCGGCTTCGGCCTCCCTCACCTTCACCCTTGACTCTGGGGCGTCTCGCTCCTTCTTTCGGGACCGCACCACACTCACACCGCTGAGTCGACCGGTTGCAGTGTCTCTGGCTGACCCCTCTGGGGGTCCTGTCCTGTCTCGCTTCTCCACAGTCCTCCCGTGTCCGGCGGCTCCCTCTGGCACCCTGTCTGGTCTCTACCTCCCCTCGTTCTCTACGAACCTGGTGAGTGGTGCTGACCTACAGGATGCGGGGGTCCACCAGTTCACTCCTGCACGTCAGAGAGTGACCCACTGTACAGAGGCTGGCACAGGCCGACACCTGGCTACGTTCACCCGTCAGCCGGGGTCGAGCCTGTACACTCTGACCACTGCGTCTCCTCCAGTTGCTGAGTCTGGTAGGGTAGTTACGTCGGGTCAGGTGTTTGCTGCGGCGTCCAGGTCTGGTCCTGAGTCTGCCCCCTGTTCGTGTCGTCTCCTGTCTCACGAGACTCTCCTCTGGCACCACCGCCTTGGCCACCCCTCTCTGCTTCGGCTCAGAGGTATGGCCTCCCGTCTTCTTGTGTCCGGTCTCCCCCGGTCCCTCCCTCCCCTTCCTCAGGGCCCTGGCCCTGCCTGTGTCCCCTGTGTCGAGGGG